GGGAAGGAAAGAGGGTGAGGGAGAGACGGGGAGACGGGGAGAGGAGAGAGCTGAGGTTAGAGGCAGCCAGGGGTGTGATCATACAGGGCCTTGGGGGCCATGCAAAGGACTCTAGACTTTATTCTAAGTTTTCTGGAAGTCACTGTTGTATGAGGATCTGACTCATACAAAAGGATCTTTCTGGTTCCAGTGTTGAGAAGAGAATGTGTGTGTGTGAGGGTGGGGTGGGGGCGTGTAGAGGCAGAGGCTTGGACCTGGTGATAGAGGTGAAGAGATGATAGGATTTCCAATATATTCTGAAAGGATATGTTGACAGTGGAATGAGGGAGATGGGGAGAGGAGAGAGCTGAGGTTAGAGGCAGCCAGGGGTGTGATCATACAGGGCCTTGGGGGCCATGCAAAGGACTCTAGACTTTATTCTAAGTTTTCTGGAAGTCACTGTTGGGATGAGGATCTGACTCATACAAAAGGATCTTTCTGGTTCCAGTGTTGAGAAGAGAATGTGTGTGTGTGAGGGTGGGGTGGGGGCGTGTAGAGGCAGAGGCTTGGACCTGGTGATAGAGGGGAAGAAGAGATGATAGGATTTCCAATATATTCTGAAAGGATATGTTGACAGTGGAATGAGGGAGAAAGAATATGTCCAAGGTGTTTGGTCTGAATAACTAAGTGAATGGTGATGCCACTCAGAGGTCAGGAACACCGAGAGTGAAGCTGATCTGCGCAGAGGAATGGAGACCGATTTTGGATGTGTCAGGTTTCAGAAGTCCACTAGACATCCGAGGGGAACATCTCTGTTGCCTGTTCCACCATGATCAATGTTTTCTAATCCAATAAATGGTACCACCATCCACCCAGAGGTAGTGGTCATCCTTCAATCACCCTTCTTTGGTCAAACCAGATATTGGACACTGGGACAACTATTCTAAGCTGAACTTTCTAAATGTGTAAAATAAAGATATTACCACCTGCATCATAATGTTATTATGAAGATTGAAAGAGGCTATATGTATAAAGCATCTTGTACAGTGTTAATTTCCCCTAAAATGAAAGATAAGCCCTAGATAAAGAGGGCAGTCAACTGGATATATTCAGACAACAGTAACCTAGAGGGTGTCAGAAAGTAAATCCACGTCCTAGGAGGAACGTTACAAGGAAAAAATGGAAATGTTTAATAAGAAGAGAAGATCCTTGGGCACATGGCAGCTGTCTTTAAACATCAGAAGGGTCATCACTGGAAAAGTTGCATGTCTTTTTGGTTCTAATGGACCAGAAGATAGAAACCTTAGGGAGACAGAATTCAGCTCAATACATGACAGTGAATTGTAAGTGTTCTGAGTGTGCTTAAAAGTGTATTTTCTAATTTGGGGGTAAAAAATTATAAGATATCGCTCAAGTAGTGTTTAGTCTATCTAATTTTCAGGAGGAGCTATGTTAAGGTCTCCATGTGATTGTAGCATCTGTCAATCTCTTTTCGTAATTCTGACCACCATTGTTTTACGCATTTGACTCTATGCTGTTAGGTGCATCTAGGTTTAAGACTTTTATCTCTTCCTGGTGATTTATCCAGTTTACTGTTACCTCATGACGTTTCCAATCCTGAAAAATGCTTTTTCCTTCGACATCAACCAGCTTTCCAGTGGTTTATATTTGCTTGGTATATTTATTTCCATCTATTTCCTTTGTATCTTTCTGCTTTATTTAGTTACGTCTTCCTAACCCCATCTTTCTCCCTAAAAGTAACAACTGTCTTGACTTCTAATACTGTTTTTGAAATTTATATAAATGGAATCCCATCTTAAGTCAAGTTTTGTGTCTGGCTTCCTTCATTCAACATTAGGTTGTTTTGATATTTTTTTTTGGCTGTTATGAATAAGGCTGCTGTGAACATTCATGTAGTGGAGAAGTAAGAGAAACAGGACGAGTTCAACTAATGAAAGCCGACTAGGAATTGGGGATGAGATGGAGGGTATTAGAAGAAGCCTATTCACGTATTGAGCTGAATTCTGTCTCCCTAAAAATAATAATTTTACTTACGATATGGTAATACCTCACACCTGACAGCGATTCATTTAGAACAGAGCTGAGAACCTAGGAAACAAGAATAATTTAAATAGATAAAGTATCGGAAAGTTCATGCACTTTATTCACGAGAGAATTTCTTCCTCAGTTTATTTACTCTTATTTTACAAAAACTTATAAATACTTGGTTCTCAGCAGATTCGAAGTTGCCTATTATGAGAGGATGCGCTCAGAGGCAGGCAGGTCAGAAAATGTGCCAATTAACAACAGGCACAGGACAATCTGTATTTCTAAGGAGCAGATGCAGAAGTGCAAAATGCACAACTATTTGGAGTGATTCTTTGAAGGGCCAAACTATCCAAAAATCTCCCAAAGGCATTGCCATATTAGCCAGCACAGTAACACAGCAAAATTATGTCCAAGCTTTAAAGCAATGGTTGAATTATATGTATTCTATGTTTTCAGTGGCCAGAGATGTTTAGCATTTCAGAAAGATTTCTGTACAAATAATTAAAATACAACAAAGCAGTAAATAAACACATTTTAGTGCACGAAGAAGAGGCATCGCAAATGATGCTGGAAAAACAGAATGTTAATGCACTATTCTACATTCCCGAGAATGGCTAAAAATGATGAGTGCAGAGAAGATGCCCAGTCCGAGTTATCTGACGGACCGTGAGCCAAGAAACAGTGGAGGGAATCCACAAAGACACATAAGCTAAAAATGATGAGTGCAGAGAAGATGCCCAGTCCAAGTTATCTGACTGTGAGCCACAGTGGAGGGAATCCACAAAGACACATAGCGAACATCATGCTCGGTGGTGAAAGGCGATATGCTTTCTCCCTAAGATCAAGAACAAGACAAGAATGCTGCTCTTACCACTTCTATTCAACACTGCACTTGCAGTTCCAGCTAGAGCAATTCGACAAGAAAAAGAAATAAAAGGCACCCAGATTGCAAAGGGAGAAAAAAAAAAGTCTTCTGTATAGATGACAGAATCTTGTACATAGAAAATCCTAAGGAATCCAGTAAAAAACTATCAGAATAAGTGAGTTCAGCAATGTTGCAGGACACAATATCAATATACAAAAGCTAATTGTATTTCTATTCACTTGTAACAGACAATCCAAAAATGAAATTAAGAGAACAATTCCATTTATAATCGTATCAAAAGAAAATAGGAATAAATTTAACAAGAGTGTAAAAATTATACTCTTAAAACTACTGTTAAAAGAAATTAAAGAAGACCTAAATGGAAACGACATTTTATGTTCATAGAGTTAATATTGTTAAGACATCAATATTTACCAAACTGATCCACAGATTCGAGGCAAGGCCTATCAGAATCCCAGATGACTTCTTTGTACAGACAAGCTAACAGACGCAGCTTTTAAAGAAAAATTCTAATGAAATATTAAGGGACCCCAAATAACCAAAATAACCATTGTCTATCTCCCCCCATTTCAATACAAGTCTCACAAGAGCAGGAACCTCACCTGTCTTGTCCAAAATGTATCCCTGTTGCATAGCAAAGTGGCTGGCCCACGGCAGATGCTCAAAACTTATTTGTTGACTTCTTGGTTAGCTGAGTCTCCTTGGTACAAGGCAACAATATTTATTAAGCGGCATTATTACGTCTCACTGGTAGGTACTGAAACTCAAAAATGAACCCTGCACTCCAGAAACAGGGGGTATAGATGAACAAATAACAACATAATGTGATAAGGATGACACCAACATTCTTGTTTTAATCACGTAATATTTTTTTCTGCTTACAAGCTCCTAAGCTCACGCATTTATTTTTCAGCTCCCTCTGCCTGGACATATTCTACCCTTATTCAGTTCAGACTAAGGTAGGAATACATGTTGCATTTTGTATTTAATGTGGTAAAATTACTAACGCACTAAATCTTAGGGAAGCTATGTCTTACTTTTTGTCAAAATACATATTACCATAGGAATTGTGACTCTAGGTACTCTGGTTTAGACAAACCACAATTTGACACACTACACACACACCACCTCCCTCAGTATATATACTCATTGGACTTACAGAGTATTCGTAGTAATGCCTGGGACATAGTAATGGTGATAAGGATTCAGAACTCTTAATCTACTGAAGGAGGGAGGTAAGTAAACAGAAAATACAACTTAAGGTGAAAGGTACTTGTAGAGCTCTACCTAGGGGATTGTTTCAAAAACTACCAAAGAAACAAAAAGCACATAGAGGCCTTTATATTAGGGATCTCCTTACCAGAGCTTGACACTCAAATGATGGGCCCGTTCTTTTTAACACG